TTATCGGAGGAAGCCATATTGAGAGGAGAAGGTGCAATTGTTGCCGAGGAAGAGGGGGGGCTGTGCTGCGCCGCTGCCGCCGCCGAGGAGAGGAGGACGGCGGGTGGTGTGCTGCGCTGGGAGAAAGCACGCCGAGAGAGAGCAAGGGTAGGGTTAGGGTTTTTGGGTTGAGAAATTATGGCTCCGATACCATGAAGAATTATGAATTTCCTTAAACAATAATGTGGGAGTACATGTGTTTATATACACAAACTATTCCTAATCCTAATCATGGTAGGATTCTACAATAGGAAACAATCTCTATACAATAAATACAGAATATATAATTAACATAAATATAGAATATATTTAACAGTACAATATAAAAATAAATGAAATAAAAAAGTTTTCTAATGAAAAAAAAAGTGAAAAACGAAACTTTAAAAAAGACCTTTGTGAAAAGAGTGCACAAATTTACTATTTGGGTAGTTTAGTTTTTATTTTTTAATTATTTGAGACCATTATTCCAATCCATAACTGTACGTATTCGGTTAATTTGTGGATTTTGTGAATATTTTGTTTATGACTCTAGCATTACTCGTTCTATATTGCTACATAAAAGAATTCTCCTTTGGTGAGACTCCATATGGTCAATGTACAGTGGGATTAGTGAGATGCCTATTGCATGGGCCCCACTATATTCCACTTACAATGTTAATGCACTGTAGGAAGGTATACTGCATATACGTCTCTAATTCATCTCCATTTTTCTTCATGCATATAATTGATACTTAGGCTTCATTAGTTAATTATTTTGTTCCCATATTATGTATTCTGGCATGGACACCTTCCTATAGACAACTTTATCGCGGACCGAGCTTAATATATTTTAGACTCAAGAAATATTATTCCATCAATAACGAATCACATTCCCAATTTCCACAAATATCTCTGGATTTTTTTTTTTAAAATGGAGAACTCTATTCTTTAATAGAATGTGTGTTTAAAGTTTTGAGGGAAACATCAAACACTCATTCAAATATAACAAATCTCAACGATTAGAGTCGGGGTATGAGCGAGTATTCAAGAGAGGAGACGAAACGGTCTTGCCATTCAAGGTTTTTGGTTTCTAAACTGCTTAGACGATCGAACTTAAAAATAATTGGGTCATTCATTGCATAACAATTTATAAGAAGTGATGAATATCGAATCCGGCCTGAAGATAGTTTAGGTTGTTGTTTACTTGCTCTTTTACATTGATGTCACTGGAAGCTACAATGGAGTGAGATTCCAGACTATATTCCATCCATACAAGCTAGCTGAGTGGTGATTTGGTTCCAAATTGCATTGATGGGTTTGAATTTCATGCATGAGCTTTACACTATATTGTGATAATCAAAGTGCCTTATACTTTGGCAAGGAATCTAGAAATCTTTCTACTTGACCCTATCCCATAGACAATACTCAACACATTGTAATTTGTAACATTTGAGACAAGAATTTCTTGTAATTAGGAAGGACTCTGAAAGAAAAAAGTTTGATTCCTAAAGCATATTAAAGATGACATGTAACGAGGTTAAAATCTCGGCCTATCACATATGCGTTCATTGTCTGTAACGAAAACGTTTCAATATGATACAGATTTGGAAACTTGAATTTTAGATCATGTTAACCTCAAACGAGTAATTTGATCCCGGTAAGTCTTGAAAAAGTGAGAAGTGGTGTTTGGGACTTTTGGAGGGATGATGACACAAGCTCGAATTCTAGTCTTCTAGATGAGCTTTTTCTTTTGAAAATAGTGCCTCAAATACCATAGTTGCGTGGCCGAGACAAATACACAGATGCCAAGGGACATTATACTAAACCAAGCCACTCTTGCATTGGTTTTCTCACTTACCTCCCTCATCTCTGCTTCCCTGCACAAATTATAGAACAATCTATCAACAATAGTTCAATCTAGAGTTCCACATGTTCCCAACTTTTTTCTTCTTTTTTGTTTCGTTTTTTCTCTTGATAAGTTCCAAAGACTTCTAAGAAAGTACGCATAGATGAGAGAAGAAATCATAATGAGCGACCCGATCCATAAATGTTGAACCACCAAACTATCTGATGGGGGTTTAGGACAGAAAATGTGCACCCGAACAGATCTTTGGTATTATCTCTATGGTATGGGCAAAGTGTATACCTAGTCTCCCTAGACCCCACTTAGGGAACCTTATTGGTTTGTTTGTTTGTTTGTCATCTCTATTGTAGTTTTGGGCACCCATGTTACTATGCTTGTATCAAGAAGGCTAAACTGCTAGTACGAAAATAATAGGCAAATATTTGACAAGTGCAAGGACTGGCAGGCACATCAAAACAGAAGGAAGGGAGATGGTGGGTTTATGGAGAAAATACATAAATGGTACACTATTATTATAATGTCATGACAAAATTGGTACATCATTCTTTGAAACCCCAAAAGTGGTCCATTATTGTTATTATGATTCTAGACTAATTCAATCCAATTGCTTAATTCGTAAGGGTACAAAAGAAAATGTATTGGGAGTAATTTGTCAATTTATCCAAAAAGGATCCAATTAGTCCAAAATCCTAATAGTAATTGACCAATTTTGGGGTTTCAAATAAAGATGTACTAAAACTTTCCACTGCTCAATAATAGTGTATAATTTATGTCTTTTTCTCTGCTTTTATGTAATAGAAACTCATTCTCTAAACATTAGCAAGTGAAGAAAAATCACCTATCCTTCAGATATCTCAAATTTTCATGGATGGCTTGAATTATTCCTTCAAGTTTCATCAACTCAAGATTGACTCCCTGGACGCAAGGAAAGATCACATGTGAGCCAAAATATAGGCATATAGCATGAAATATATATTTCCTCCATCTGAATTTAGTTGCACAGTTTCTTATTCTTGCTTGCCCGGAATAGTTCTCCACTTTCCATATTCAATAAAAAATTATGAGGAATTGTCTAAAATATCCTAGAGATATGGTATGAATATTGTTAACTGAAATGAGGGGCATCCTCATTGGAATGACTTATTTGACATTCTAAACTCATTTCTTAAAAATGAGATTTTATTAGAATGTGGCCATGTGGGCAACTAAATACGGACAGAAAGAGTATGTATGTACCTATATAAACACACACACTCCCTTTGTCCCATAAAAACAGTCCAAATTCACGATAGGTAAAACAACAACTCCTTGAAATTAGTTTGTCCCTCATTGAGGAAAACAATGCTGTTGTGCTTTATGAGGGTATTTGTGATATTACTATCAATTTACTTACTAAATATGGAAAGTGGATAATTCATTATGGATGCCCGAACAATAAAAAGCTGACAACTAAATCCAGACGGAGAGAGCATATAAATATATAATAAACGCCACCCCATGCCAACTAAAAAAAGGAGTGTTACTTCTATCTTTTCTTTTTTTGCAACCGATATCCAATCCTTGGCAAAAATTCCTGTCTTCCAGTCAAGCCCAACAGTTGCACCCTTCGTCACTGGTAAATCGCCATCCATCCAGAAACAAGCGAGGTAGCTACCAGACTCAGTTGATGTAAATGCAAATTGACCGTGAGTCACGTTGTTTTGATGGTGGAGACTGTTTCCATATGGTGATGTCACCTGTAAAGGATATGGAAAAAGTGTGAGGAGAAGATTTGAATTGCAATGTTTAGGCTATGTATTGGAAATGTTAAACTCCATGGCTGGACATAAGCACTATAAACCATCTGTATTATTACACTAAAAGTAGCCAACCGTTAATTCAAACTTTTCAATCTTCTAACATGTTGGCTTGATTCTTACTCAATCATAAATTCTATTGTGGAGACAGAGCCTGCGAAGCTTAAACGATCAATTTGATCTTGTTAAGTCATAACAATACGCACATGGCCTTCAAGATTTAAATTTGGTCCAACATTCAACAAGCAACCATCTTGCAGAGCATGCTTATCAATCTCACAGTGGCAATATATAAAAAGATAAAGAGCCTTTTGGGACTATCCCTTCTATGAGGGATAACTAATCCCCAGTCTTAATGATCACTAACATTCCAATTGTTCTCATTTGTTCATCTCCTGCAATACAATCTCTACTAAGAAAACAATAAATTAATCCCATAAGAAACACGGTCTTGATATAAAATATGTATGTCTTCTATTGTTCAAATTGACTCCTTCATTAAACTAAATTAGCTAAACACCCTCTTCCCATTTTTCCATCACTCTGTCCATCCCAATGTTATAGCACATCTAAAGGCCTAAAGCCTCTAAAAACCCTAATGGTGTGTCTGGGAACTTGAATTTGGATTTCAAATCTGGATTTGATCAAAAAAGAATTTTTGGGAACTCAAAGAATTTAGATTGGATTTAGATTTTAGACCAAATTCTTCTAATTCAAAATTAACCCAACTACATATCTACACATCTCCTCATGTCATTTACAAATTCAAAGCCCCACTTTTCTTTAATCTATAACTTGTAATTAAACAGTGATCTTCCCTTGAGCAACAACAATTCCATACATATCAACCGGCTTCCGTTACTGTCTTTGCCGACTTCAAAATTCAATTTCTAGAATTGAAATTCTATGACTTCCCAAACAAAATTTTCTAGAGTTGAAATTATGAGATTTCAAATATTGGAATTGAAATCTAAGATTTTAAATGAATTATAGTTCCCAAACACTACATAAGAAAATATGAAGCACTTAAAGTAAGTTGTCCTCACAATTTGCCATTGCACTCCATCATTGCCCAAATTTAATCTCCATTCCTCTATAACCCCATTCTGAACAACTTCTTTTACATCAAATGGATTTTCTCAGCATACAGAAAGCATATGAATATTATTTCCATTTCTTCTGTTTCATTTAATTACCTTGACGGAAATGGTGGGGACGACTTTATGCCCCTCGTCGCCGATGATGTAATAATCCCCCAAAACGACGACGTTATTGTGGATTTCCTCGGACACGCACTTGGTACCGGAGCTCGGCAACTCCAGCCACAGCGCATCTCCCCTTGGAAGCTCCGCCGCCGCAGCTAACAACAGCAGCACAAAGAACGCCACCTCAACTGCGTTCATGATCCAATTTATTCTTCCCCGGTTAAAACCCCTCTCTTCTCTCTTCTCTCAGGTAGTACTCGGGGGAGTTGGGAGCAGAGTAGGTGGGAGACCTTATTGGCGCTGGGGTTTAATCTCTTTACCCTTCATATTTTATTTTGTTTTTATTTTTTATTTTCTTTTAAAACTTTGCTTCTCTCTTTATGTGGTTACGGAGGGGGTGGGAATATTTGGGGTACAACCCTAACATTTTCCTTCATATTATCATGGATAATTTAAATCATCCATTATTTTGCGTGATTCAATTTATTTAGATCAGACAAGAATTTGAATAGACATTGTTTAATGATTTAAGAAGCACTGAATATATACTTGTTCAACGATATCATGAATTCATAATGCGATCCGGGGGCGGGGTCCAAGAGGTCGAGCTCCAGCCGCCCTGGCGGAGCCGGGCAGGGGTCTGTATGAGAATCCTTCAGATTTTCGTGAAAGGAGTCCAAATATTAGAAAATTCTGGACTTGGATAAAGACCATTTTTGATCAACATTGTGGCTTAATTGCTGATATGCCTGGTGGTTGGGCAGGTCATGGGTGCCGTAAAGTAGGTTAAATGGTTTAATGCAATCAAACTAGCTGGATTTGTTCTTCGGGATTAGATCATGATTTCTTTTACGGATCTCACCGTGCCTGGATTTCAGATAGGCCTGAGATGGAGATGTGTCTGTAGAGAAACTAATGTCCGCCCGTGGCCTGTGTCTGGGTTATTCGGATGGCGGGAGACGCTGCACATAGAATAGGAAAGCAGGCAGAAGAAAACAAATTTAAGAAGATTTTAGGGTTTTGAGAGCTAAAGCGTTGATAACATGTTGTGGGATAGGGTAATAACATGGTTTACAAGTGAAGCCCATTTGACTCATAGTACACGATTTACATAATAAATATCTTAAAACATATTGTGTGATAGCACATAATTTGTACTTTGGGTTCCACAAAATCCTTCTTTTTTTTATCCGTCCCAAAAAAACATTTATCATTTATATTAAAATGTTATTTTTACTCATACTAATTTTTAATATATCTATCACATCACACTTCTTCTTTATTAACCTACCCATTTCATTCTTCTTTACCTATCATATCAAAGGTGATTTTTGAAAAGCGAACAGCGCCGTACACCAAAGTAATTTTTTTAAAAATCTTTTAAAAATCAAAATAGAAAAGAAAACCCAAACCAAAACTAGTCTGGAAACGGTTGGTAGATCCGGATCCCCAACCTAGCCGTTCCCCTTCCACCCATCTGGAGAGTCCAGTATTCCACAGTTCCTAAAACGGACCTGAAGCGGCCCTGTCTCCACCTACCTGCCCGTTGAAAGGCCGCTCGAGTCCGACGGGAGCTACATCTATACTTTGCTGGGAGCTCTGGGTGGGGGCCTCCTCCTTTTCTGGAAGGAGCTACATACATTCTTTGATTCCCAGCTCCAGAGAGTCTAGAGAAATCACCTTACAATCGTTCATCGTCACTCTTGTATCATACCAACAATTCCGATCTCATTCATCTCGCACTCAGGTTTTCGTTTTCATCAAACAAAATCACAGTTTTCCGTAGTAGACAAGGGACGAGGCGGTCATCTCTTGCCAATGGAAACTGAATCCCCAGATTCAGACAGCATCGCCGGAATAGCGTTGCATTTTCCGGTGAACGATTCCGATCCCACTTCCCTGCAGTCCACTCCAAGGCTCCCTCGCCGCCTTCGACGCCGCCTGCTGGAGAGCAAATCGCCCTCCACCACCGCCGAGGATATTGAAGCCAAGCTTAGAGGTGCTGAATTACGCCGCCAGGTATTGTAGAATATTTTGTTTCCTCAAAGAATTTTTTCATGCTTCCTGGTATAATAATGGATTCTGAAGAAAATGAAAGATGGTATTTTGGATTGTTTGAGAACTTTCACTGCAAATCTGCCATGGTGCTGAGCCAGCTCCCTTTCTGCTCCCTCTGTTGGCTACATACAATTAAAAGCCTACTTACTGTATTTCAATAGACAGATAGCTTTAATACTTTGGAATTAGTGGTATCTCAGGTATTTCTAAAACAAAATGCCTCCTCTTATCCAAATTCATTCCTGACAAATTTACACTGCAATATATGCTTTTAATGAAGATGATTGTGCATGTCCTATATATCAGACTTTGTTATCAGTTATATTTATTAGGAGTCTTTTACTAATGCAGCAATTTTATGAGATCTTGTCATCCAAAGCACGCAAAAAATTAAGATCTTTGACATGGTCATCTTCTTTGCAAGATGAAGACCTGGCTCGACGACTTGAAGCAAAGCTCTCTGCCGCTGCTCATAAAAGGTGATAATTTTTTTAGCAAAAATGCATATGGATGCTTCAAAGTTTGGGTAGTCTTACAAGAATACTCCCAAAAAAAAAATTGTTGTACAAGAATACTCCTAAAAGCTAATCCTTGTCACAAAAATGTTCCAAATTTAGCAAGGTTCAATACTTCAATCATTTATTTTGAGCTGTCTTCCTCGTAAGTCTCCATCTTACTGACTTGATTGCATGTATCTCTTTAGCATATTTTACACTGCAAGGTAACTATTGAGGTTTTTGTTGTAATACTTTTTGAACTTCATAGTTGATAGAATTTAGGATGGGGTAGTGATAACTGGATTGGGTAATAAGACACTTGGGTTGAACCACATTAAAAGATTGAATCCAATCAATTAGTTAGTTTAACTCAAGGGCTTATATGCCGGTTTATTTTCACTATAAGTTCCGGTGTGGGATAGACTCCAACAATAGTATTCATTTTTCTTTCTTAATTATTTACGGCATATTTATCTTTAGTTCTATTACTCTCATTGTCTTTTTTGAATATCCCATTTGACAACACAAATTTCAAAACAATAAAGTATGTGGTTATAATTTTCTTAGAAGTGAAACAATGTTTATAGGGTATGCTAGTTTTTCTTTAAAAGAACATATTAATATTAATTTAGACGTCACCAATAAAAAAATTATAATCGTAACCGAGGGTAAACCTGTTAAATTTGGAGCATTTGTGTTACACAAATTAGCTTTAGGGGTATCCTTGTGCAATATTTATTTTGGGAGTTTTATTTTAAGATACCCCAAATTTTGGAGTATTCATACTCCGTATGCATTTTTCCTATTGTTTATTGTTGTTTTTTTGTAGTTGATTTGTATTCTTATGGACAAACACCTTCCATGAATTTGGTTTACAAGGGATTTGTAATTAGTAATTACTGTGATTTTTTTTTGAAAAAAATTATGATCTAAGTCAAGTGTCATGAAATACGATATGCTAAATTGCTAACTAGAGCATGTTATACATAGTTATCAAGGCGTCACCTAGGCGACGTCTAGGCGTCTGGGTGGTTTTATGGACTAGCCTAATGGATGCCTAGCCTGAAAACACCTACGGCGATGAGGTGCTCGCCTTAGCCTCGCCTCTAGCCTAATCTCGCCTGAAAACAACTAAGGTGATGAGGAACTCTATTTTTTCCTAAAAAAAGTAGCATGTGTCTGATCATTGTTTTGTGTGTGTATATATATATATGTATGTATGTATGTATGTATGTATATGTATTCATTTTTCTATATATATATGTGTGTGTGTGTGTGTGTATAAATATAAATATAATATTGCCATACTACACTCTCCTAATGGATGCCTAGGCGGCCTCACCTAGCTGCCTAATACAATACTCCCTCCGTTCCATATTAATGGTCTATTAACACTTTCTTGATACATTGAAGAATGAATGAATGTAGACATACTTTATGTCTACATTCATCCATTTTTCAATGAATCAAGAAAGTGTTAATAGACACTTGCTATGGAATGGAGGGAGTATGTGATATTATTAGCATATAAGTCGTTATGTGAAATATGTATTATTATAAGAGATGACAACATTTAGGCTATCAGATGGTTTGGCATTTAACAACCCAAACCCATTAAAAAATTCATATCCTAAATTGTCTCCAAATTTGTGCTTGCCCATTTTTCTGGAATACTAAGAACCACCCTAACACGCCCATGATGGGTAGGAGTAAGGGAAGGGGTACACCTTGGACTTCTGACCCTTACCGAGGATATGACTTTAGATAGGAGCATTTGGAGAGTTAGGATTATGGTGGTTGGATACGCGTTTTGGGCTTGATGGTAGTTTTCGCACTTGTTGTTATGTGCTTTTTATGCTTGGTGCTTTATGTTTATTGTGCCTTTCCTCTGTTATTTAGTTTGTTCTTTGCTTCTTGTGCTCTGTGCTTTTTCCGCTTTATGTCTGTTCTGTGTTCTTTTGCTATTTGTGTTACTTGAGCTGGGGTCTCTTGGAAATAGCCTCCCAACTTTCGAGTAGGAGTAAGGTCCATGTAAACACCCCGAAACCTACTTTCTTGGGATCCAACTAGGTCGTTTTATTTATATAACCTTTCTTGCTTTCAAAATTCAATTTGCTAGAAATCTCAAGTCATACACCAACATTTGTTAACTTGCAAAAAAGAATCTAAAGGCTTAACACTTAAGTCGCACTTAACTTTACTAGTTCTACCTCTTGGTTAATTAATCTACTCTCTCCATCCCAAAATAAATTTTACACTTTCCTTTTTTAGTTGTGCCAAAATGAACTTCATACTTTTATTTTTTCAAAATAGGAATGATATATGTATGGTGGAATAAAGCAAAATGGCTATTTATATTGTCTGCGCTTCTTTCAAGAGTGAAGTAGCAGTTAGTCAATGCAACTTTCGACCACCTCATGGGTCATTTGGAAAAAGCCGCTCTATGTTTTAAACATAGGGGTCAGATTACGTACATCCAACCCCCCTTACCCCGTAATGGGCGGGCCCTTTGTGGCACTGGGGTAATGTTATTGTTGTTGTAGGAACGATATATGTGGTTAACAATCTTTCTTTCATTTTATTAAATTTCAACAATCCACTTTTTACTTTCAACACTTTTCTTAAACTCCGTGAAGTCAAACACTGAAGTTTATTTCATGGAGAGTAGTGTATTTATGTTTATGGGTTATTAGTTTAATTTAAACCAGCATTTAGGCAGAGGATCCCGCCATCAACAACAGCAACAACAATAACAGCAACGTCCTACTATAATTCCAACTCCGTTGTGGTTTGGAGGTCAAGATGTCTTACCCTATAAACTACAGAGAGACTTTTTTTGAAAGTCAATAGCGAAAATAGTTTAATGTGCCATTTTGATTTCGTGCATTATTTATCCAAAGTTAAACATTGTCAATTACAACTGTTTTAGCTCTATTGGCAATGGACATATCGAGCTAAATCGGATCCTGCAATGCTGATCCCAAATCTTTTCCAAACTTTATCAAGCATCAACAGGTTTTCCTATGCCCATCCGAAATTCCACTAGGGGAATAATGACAAGATTGAAATTCTTGTGGTATTCGACTTAGCATTGACTGTTTTTTATGGGCACCTTTTGGAGTGGTATGGGGGTTATTGGTTCTAAGTTAGTGAAGTGGTATGTGTTTAACTGTTGATTCAATATTACTCATATTACTACGATATCATACTGCAATCACAAGCTGTACTAATTATTAAAAGTTTGTTATTTTGACAGTTGGATGAGTAATTCCATCCAAGAAGTGAAGTTGACGTATATTGTGATTGATGACTAAAAGAACACTTTTGGCCTTTATTTAGGCAATTTTGAATATAACCCAATATATCAGAAATTGGAATAATTCTAGGGCTTTTAGCTTAATTTTAATGTTACATTAATATTGTTTGATTTATTTCTTATTTGTAATGCAAGTAGGTTAAGCATCCTTGCAAAAGTGCAGAGGCGCTTGGCAAGATTGGATGAACTTCGACAAGCAGCTAAAGCTGCAGCAGAAATGCGCTTTGAGAAACAACGTGATGAGCTTGGTAGTAAAGTTGAGTCACGCGTACACCAAGCTGAGGTAAACCGAATGCTTATTCTCAATGCTCATAGGAAACGGAGGGATGCGAAGAAAGAAAGGACTGATCAATTGTTGAGGAGAAAAATAATTAAAGAGAGCAAGTACAAGGAAAGCATCCGAGCTGCTATTTATCGGAAGCGTGCTGCTGCCGAGAAGATACGGCTGGGGGTTCTTGAAGCGCAGAGATCTAGGGCACGTGCAAGAGTGTTACTAGTTCAGCAAGTGGCAAACAATGTTACCCGCAAACGGGAGATTGAGAGGACCAAGCTGAAAGACGAATTAGCATGCCGGCTTCTGAAGGTATGCCTACTGAGAGCTGAGTAAAGTAACGGACACATTTCCCTCTTGCTATCACTGTTTTGTTAATTGTGCATTTGTAATTCTTATAATACTATTTAGAAGGAAGTCACGATTCAAGGTTCATGATACCATTTGTTGTTACCAGGCTCAGTCATTGAGAGCTGAGTATTTGAAGCACAGGGGAAACCTTCAAAATATAGATCACCCTTTTCCAAAAATGATTGAACTCCAAAATCTACTGTGCAGTAAACTAGCAAGGTAGAGAAGCTCTCTTTGGAACTTTCTTTCCATTTGGATTTGTTTCATTCAAGGACCTTAAATTACATTGCATGCATACAAGTAACTCTGGATATTCTCTATATGTTGAATAATCTAAGGCTCTAAGCTTCTGGGAAACATCACACTTAAGAGGACCAAAAGTTTCCTCCTTACATCACTAGTTGATTTTGAGTATTGATTGTTCTTCATTATGATATGTCCTAGAGCGTCATAACTCATAAGGAGAGCTGGAGAGGGGGAGGGGCCCATGAACCGTAATTAAAATTTGGGTTTATTAATTAGTACTGTCTTATTTCATTCTTTTTAATAATCTGAAGACTACTAAATTATAAGTATTTTCCCAATTTCTTCCAATTATTCTTGTGGTAGATTCTTTATTATTAGTAGTTTTACTAGGTTCCTTTTACATTTGGACTATTTCTCTTTGAATACTATTACCCTATACAATTTGGATTTAGAAGGAAGTTGGTATTGAAATAAAATTCAAAAGCAAAATTCTCTTCCTAAAAAAATTGTTTAGGTATGTTGATGTTTTGATCGCACCAATATTAGTGTTATGAGATGTATGTATTAACTTCTTGCTATCATACTCATTTACTTCAGTGTCTCTTACCCGAGAATGTGTGGCTTATATTGATATTTTCCCCATTCATTAGGTGCTGGAGGCAATTTGTCAGACATAGAGGAACAACACATGCACTAGCTAAGGAATTTGCAGAATTAAATATCCATGGAGAGACTGTCAAAAGGATGACATTTGAGCAACTTGCTTCTAAGATTGAGTCTGTTGTAACAATTCAAACCACAAAATCTTTGCTTGATAGACTTGAGAGTCGCATCATTATCAGCCAGAAGATTTTTGGTTCCAGCCGCGCTTTTAGCTTAGGTAACACTGATCATCTTCTTAAACATGTTTTGTTTCCGAGTAAAGGGGCCAATGCAGACAAACCATCAAAGAAATGTAGGTCCTATGGAGATAAGATTACTGGCACCATCAAGTCAACAAGGTATCCAGTGAGGGTGGTTCTCTGTGCTTACATGATCTTTGGACATCCAGACATGGTATTCATTGGGAATGGGCATGACGTGAATGCTCTTGCTGATTCTGCAGGAGTCTTTGTGAAAGAGTTTGATTTGTTGATTAAAGTTATTTCGGAAGGGCCTATTCAGCCCTCCATAGGGGAGATTGACAATAGTGCCGATCCTCCAAACTGGCTGACTTTTAGATCTCAGCTGGAAGCTTTTGACAAAGCATGGTGTTCTTATCTGTATAGCTTTGTGAAGTGGAAAGTCAAGGATGCCAAACTTTTAGAAGAAGATTTGGTCAGAGCTGCGTGCCAGCTGGATTACTCAATGTTGCAAGCTCGCAAGCTAGCTGCTGAAGATGATTATAATATAGCTGAAATGAAGGTTTTACAAAAGCAGGTGTGCTTCACAAGCTCAACTTCTTTAATATGCTGCTGGCATTTCTATAATCTACATGGTGGGTAATATTTCTTTTGATTATTGCTTTACTTGTTAGGTTGCTGAAAACCAAAAAGTGTTGTCAGAAAAGTTGCAGCAGCTTGCTGGCGAGGGTGGAATCAAGCATTTAAAGCATGCACTTCAAAAGACACGGACAAGATTTGCTAAAAAGAAAGAACATAATAATTTATTATCCGCATCTGATCATCATATTCCATCTTCTAGTTCAAGCGGTGCATATAACAACTCTACACCTCTTGATGACAAGAAGTGTGACGGTGTAGAGGGCTTCCCCGATGTTCAGCATGAGAGTGGTCCTTTACTGAAGTTGCGTGCTTCTTCAAGCAATAATATTTATTCCCTGGCTCCGAAGAAACTTCCAACTTTTACAGATGCTGCAACCGTGCAGACAGAGAATGAAATATTAGTGAATGACATTATCCATGAGTCTTGTCGCTTAGACACTATTAATGAGGACCAGTCGAATATTATGGTAACTGAACTTTCTTAGGTATTGTATGTATAGCTTTATTCCTATTTTAATGAATTCATCCAATATAATTTCTTGCTTTCCCATTATACAGACAAAGTTGAGGCACACAATGGAAAAGGCTTTCTGGGATGGAGTCATTGACTCAGTGAATCAGGATAAGCCTGATTATAGCTGGGTTCTTAAACTCATCAAGGAAGTTCGAGATGAACTATGCAAAATATCTCCTTCGAGTTGGAGACAGAATATTGTTGAAAGTATTGATATTGATATTATCTCACAGGTATCCTACTCCTACCTTCTATATTCATTAGTTCTATAGGTCCAAAATTCATACACTTTGTGATTGACCTGCTTTTGCTTTGTTTCTCTCTTGAACCCCTCCTAACAGATGCTAACTGCTGGAATACTAGACATGGATTATCTAGGCAGGATATTGGAATACTCGTTAATGACGCTGCAGAAACTCTGTGCTCCTGATGATGAGGATGAACTGAAAGCCTCTCACCAGAAACTATTACTGGAATTAGCGGATATTTCACAAGCTGCAGACAAATCAGTCACTAAAACTGCTGTTGTTGCCGTTCAGGGTCTGCGCTTTGTTTTAGAACAGATTCAGGTTTGGATTTGAAGCCTCTAATAGTTTCTGATCTACTTCAAATTCTCATTTGTTGTATAGTACTATAGTACGGGAGAAGTAGCATTGCTTACAGTGTGGAAGATTGAACCCTGACTTTTGGTTTTTCTCACGTATTGAAGCCGAAGCTTGGGGCTTCCCTTAACAACTGAAGTCTCAACTGATCAGTTGGACCATAGAACCATATGCATCACTTGATAAATTGTGATGCTATTGATTTTTCATTGAAACACTCCTGTTTGATGAGCATGCCAAGTTGCCAACATAGTGAACAAAAAAGTGTGTTAGGTTTGCAAAGACTGAGTAAAAAATATAAAATGTTATCTGAAGAAACTACTCCGTATATTAAAAGCTTACCCCATAACTGAGACTGAACCCCGAGTTTGGTTTTCACACAAGTACTGAAGTCTGGGCCTGGTCCTGCCTTCGTAACCATGACCTAAGTGGTCGATGGGACCTTAGAATTATAGCCATCTGTCTACTTCACTCCAAAAGCTCCATGAAGTCTTTAAATCTTGGGCGAGTTATTAATTTTACTGTTTATTTGACTTACGGAAATAGTAGTAGAAGTAGTAGTAATAATAATAATAATAACAACAACAATAACAATAATAATTATAATAATAATAAACATAATCATAGATTATACTCTTTATTCAAGATTACTACTAGTCTACTACTACCAATCATAATAATCACAATAATGATGATTATGATGATGACGAGTTAATTCCTCCCTGCCTTTTAGGTAGGGGTAAGCTTTGCAGACAGCCACCTTAAGACCCCACTCGTGGAATTTTAGTTGTTGTGGTAATAATAATAATAGTAATAACAACAACAACAACAACAAGTTCGTCAAAAGACAATAATTAAGATTTTTAAAGTACTAAATGATAGAACTGCTTCTATTTTTCTTCTCTTTTTTGGGTGTGTGTACGGGGAATAAGCTGGATAGTGCATTTCGGTATGCACAAGTAGAACATACGATGCAAAATTTCTTTTTGATTTTGTGGCAAGGTACCACATTTTAATCCTTTTGACATGTATACAATTGTTTGCAGGGGCTCAAGCGCAGTATAAGCAAAGCACGCATCAGGTTGTTGGAACCTTATCTTAAAGGGCCTGCTGGTGTGGAATACCTTAGAAATGCTTTTTCCAAGCGCTATGGGCCTCCTTCTGAGGCATGTTCTTCTCTCCCACTGGTAAACGAATTGTTTTCTGCCTTGGTTTTGGAGTTCGAGAATGAATGGAATGAGCATTTGAGTTCTCTATCGGCTTTGGGGTTGAATAATGAGATGTGCTTCCAGGATGAGGCTCCCTCCACCCTTCGTGCCGGAGGTGGTTATATTCATGGGGAACTAACATTAAATGCTGTAACCTCAAGCACTGTAGGTTAGTTTTTATTATGACAAGAAAATTAGCAAGTTCACTATTTTTTCCATTTTCGTTATCCTTTTCATTTAAACTGCTTTCTATTCCTTTAGGAAATGAACAGCCAGAATGTAAGGGAGAGAAAGTTGATCTTTTACTGAGGCTTGGATTATTGAGGATTGTGACAGAGATTGAGGGCTTGACAATAGAAACACTACCTGAGACTCTGAAGTTAAATTTCTACAGATTACGAGCTGCTCAATCTGAGCTCCAGAAAATCATTGTTATCTGTATCAGGTGGGCTAATGTTCTGGTTTGTTTGTCGCTACCATTCATTGAATTATGTGTGCACCTTTAGTGGGGAAAAATGTAGGAGTAAGTAATAAAGATAAAGTTCCCGGTTAAAAAAAATTACATGTTCCAAACTGGAACCGGCAATTCCCGGTTACGAAAAGTGTCAAAGATCAAATGGCTGACCCTAAACTTGGGTTCCAAACTGTACCCCTACACGGTTCAGGTTTAGGAACCAAGTGTTCCAGTTTAATCGAAAACCATGGATGGGTCGTTCAATTGGGGTAATGATTGGGCTTTTACTACATTTGATAATTCCCATCATACCTAGAGTTCCCGGTATTGTTTTACATAAGTGACTGTGTTTTGCTTTGGCTGCAGTATATTGGTCCTCCGGCAAACCCTCCTCACTGAGCAGCACCTGGTATCCAGTCAAGGGGACATGGAAATCCTGATAGCAAAATGTGTAAAACAGCTGTATGAGGTCGTGGACAGTACAGAGGACGCGGGCATAGCAGAACTGGTTGAATCTATGAGTTCTTGTCTGGAGTCAGACGAGACAGATAAGTCCAGAGCAAGGAAGGATGTGGTGAGAAATATGTTGAGAAAGAGCTTGCAAGCTGAGGACCCTGTCTTCACCCGGACTTCACATGCCATCCGCTTGGCAACCAGAGGCGTTTTACTCAGTGGGAGTGGGACTAAGGGTAGGAAACTTGCTGAAAGTGTACTTAGACGCGTTGGGGCATCTTTTCTTACAGAGAGGTTGGTGGAAGCCGTGGGAAATCTTTTGGTCGTTGCCATTGTGTCGGCCAATGTTCATAGACCATGGTATGAACAAGTCCTTGGAAACCTCTGATTCCAAACAATTACATTTTGTGGAATGTGTCGTGTGAGGAGTTGAGGACTGAAGTGTAGCAAAGGTTTTTTTGCTCTTTTTTTATTTTTTATTAGTAGAGGAGGTGGGGTTTGTGGGCCTCCACCAGTTGAATTTAATGTTAAACGGAGTGCCCATATTTTTAGGCCTTTGCTTTTTATAGTACTATTGAGTCTATTATAAATTCAATCTTGACACATGATAGACTAAAAACTCGTTTGGTAAAACTTCAACAAACTTTAGGTTTAAAATATCTTTATATAACATTTCTACCAAATGAAGGTGTTTTAGTATCTCTTGAAGTTGAGAGGTATAACTTGATGTTTTGATATCACCTTCAAGGTTTTAACTGCCCATCATCTGTCGATTACCCCCCCCCCCCTCCGACCCCACGGTGCCAGCCTAGGCCACCCCCATTATAATGACTTAAAAAATGGGTTTAAAAATAAGTACCAAAGACTCACTTATTTTTCAAGCTTATAAGCAATTTATAAGTTAGCTTATAAATATATAGAGCCAGGTCATCATCTTGCTTATAAGTTAAAAACTTTTTATAAACAATTTTGACAAGCATATAAGCAAAGAGAAACACTTACATAGTATCAAAAAAGTAACTTAATCCCTTATTTAAGCTTGTAGTTGTAGGTTCAAGATATATCAACACAACAAGAGAGCCTCAAATAACTCAATTTGATATAATGACACTGACATCAAAAGAACATAGTCTATACCAAAATAGTTATTGGAATTCATTGTTTTTTTATGGAAAATGTTACTACGTCTTTAAACCACTCATTGCTAAAATTGAATCATACAAACAAATCTTATTTGTTTAACATAATATCCTTAAACAGACAAAATTTATCTATATAATTCAAAAACTGGAATTTAGTGCAAGTAAATTTATCTATATAATTCAAAAACTGGGACGTGTAGTGTAAGTTTACCGTACATTATACATTATGCAAACCCTCATAACGAATAGAGAAATTCTGGCAAGTTATCCTCTCAACTATAGTCACATTATAATTGATGACACGCTTAGTTCTGATTCCTAGTAGTCAAAGGGATGTCTGAAGATGATATGTTGTCTTCCTCAATTGAAGCAAACAATTCCGTCGAATACTCATCCCAAGACTGCACCAATGATTTGGTTCTCTCAGTCTCAACAACACCTAACAATTCCTCCCGATTCGATCGATCACAACCCGACGACATTCTAAGTATGTTCTCTAATGCCGATACGGCTTCTCTCATTGTCGGCCTACTTCTACCACTTAAACTGAGGCACCTCCGAGTGAGCTCAGCAAGACCGGCTATTTGTTCCTCCGAGCCTTGATCCCTAACCTGTCGATCAAGAATCTCGAACAATTGACCCCTCTCCATTGCTAGTACGAAATATGTCGCGAGACTTCGGTGCTCTTCGCATTCCAACATCGTGATTGGCCTCTTTCCCGTCAAAAGCTCGGCTAAGACCACCCCAAAGCTATACACATCGCTCTTATCGGTGAACTGGCTAGATTGGAAGTACTCCGGGTCGAGGTATCCGAACGTCCCTTGGACTTTAGTGGTGACATGGGTTTGATCAATGGAAACCGACTTTGACGTCCCAAAGTCGGCTACCTTGGCTTGGTACTTCTCGTCAAGCATTATATTCGTCGACTTGATGTCCCGATGATATACGGGCATCGAAGCAGCGGAGTGGAGATAATATAGGGCTCCCGCAATCTCAGAGGCAATCCTCAACCTCATTTCCCAAGTTAAAGAAAATTCATCGTCGATCGGGTTATGGATATAGTAATGGAGAGTTGCCTTTGGAATAAACTCGTACACTAAGAGAGGAACTTCGGTCTCCAAGCAACATCCGAGGAGTTTCACCACATTCCGGTGGTTTATTTGTGAAAGAATTACGACCTCGTTGATGAAAGTATCCACTCGGTCCGAGTCCATTGCTATCGACTTCTTTATCGCCACGATCCTACCGTCCTCGAGCATTCCTTTGTAAACAGTTCCCTGGCCTCCTTGCCCGAGAACGCGATTCTTGTTGAAATTGTGGGTTGCCTTCTCCAGCTCGACCGAGCTGTATATTCGTGTCCTCTCGACATATTTCCCCTCACTTGAAGAGACTTCTCGCTGGAGCAAGAGGCCACCATTCCTCTTAAAGAAATTCTTCTTACGCTTTGTTTCCTTCCTCCTCCTCATGACTCTCCACACCCACAAGGCTAAAAGAAACAATAGTATGGCACCTACTCCGATGCTGATTCCTGAGAAAAGCTACCGTCAAAATAATGTAAATTTTACAGTTTTTGACAATTTCAATGTAAGAATTTGAGCATTGTTGATCATAAATAGAGAGTGAAACCACATTACCTATACCAACAACTTTGGCAACCTTTCCACGTTCTTCACATCGATAACCTCCCAAAGTATTCACACACTTCTTTGACCCGCAAGCCCTTGAATCCTCGCATTCGTTTATATCTTATATCACAAACAGAGCAAACCAAAGCTTAGACTGCTACGCATGATTATCTGGATTCTCATTAGCTTTAAATATGAGGAGTGCTCGAAAAATTTATTTGGCACGCTCACCAACTAACATATTATGCTTACGACGAGAACGCTAGCACGACCATGGTGTAATATAATGCTCACCTTTGCAATTTTTAAGAAGGGCATTACCAGTGTAGCCCATCCGACAATAACAAGTAAGAGATTGATTCAAGGAAGGGCTGTAGATGTCACAAGCGGCAGATGGGCCGACTTGGGTCAGACTTCCGCAGTTTACGTCCCAATCTATCACCACCGGAAAAGAATCCGTGTCTCGCAGAGTACTTAGATCCTTTTGATCTGTACCAAACCATTTCCGGTCCACTATGAAAGCAAACTTGCACTTGTCTTGTGCCGCATCGGAGGGAGCAACAGTCTGATCAAGGAACCGAATGCCATTGCTGGCCGGGATGCCCGAAGGAATCAATGTCCGACAACAATCAGTACCGAGACAGTAGCTATACCTGTAAAAGAATGCCAATGTTGTTACAGTGTTGGGTTAGATTAAACATGATGAACTCTTATATATGTTCTTTTAAGAGATGGAAGAAGCCATTTATTTACCAACCTGCTAGTGCCATTTCCGATGCAAGTAGAATCGCAGCCCACCACCGTGGGATCACCGCCTCTGATGACTGCCAGATTATTGCACCCAACCGACACGAACAAATTCTCCGTCGAGTAGTAAAAATTGTCCCCAAACAGATTCCAAGCCCTTAAGGTATTGTTCTCTTTCCCGGGGCAGGTCGTGTACGAGGTTGGCCGCTTTACCCGGATCGTTCCCGTGGGCGTCCACCTGTACTCGCTGAACGGGTTCGGCTCGCCCGCCGGAGAATACCCCGGCAAGGCTATATCGAGGACCTCGAGACCGGATCTCGACAGGACCGGGACGGTCCCGTTGTTGCAGAGAATCTCGAATGTGCTGTCGAGAAAGCACCGGGCCGGCCCGATCCCGAAGGGGAAGGGGATTGTCACATCGCCGCACTTGTCGGAGCAATTGGGCTTGGCGACGACGGGCGGGGAAGGAGGATGGTATGCCGCCGTGGCCAGCGATGAGTCGCTTTGTAGAGCTGAGAGGTATAGTACTGACAGAAACAGAACACGCTGAAAAATCGGGTTTCCGGTCATTATTTTGCTGCCTAAGGAGGGTAAGTTAAGCAAAGATTGGGTGAGGTGTGGAGATAAATATAAATTGAAAAACTACCGTATGAAAGTTGCATTGTTGCTGAGAGTCAGAGAACATTCAATTGTAGGTGAGAGTCAGCTGGTTGAATTTTCTTCTTGTGACTGAGTCAATGGGTTTATGAATAAAAAAAGAAAAAATTACTGCTGCTGGGTACCCTTAATTTTGTGATAAGAACTGCCAGGTCTCAATATTTTTTAAAATATACTTTAAGGTACCTTAAATTATCCGAAAAATTACTAGGAGGTGACATTCCGTCCATGCCTCCGGTAGTGTCTCCCACCGTTATCTTTTTCTACTTCTTTCTTGTTTCTTTCTCTTTCTTCTTTTTCTCTCTTTCTTATACCAGCCCCCCCCCCCCACCCTCACACCTTCCCAATCCCCATTAGAGACCACTGCCCCCCTCATTTTTTACAAAGAGTCTAGTACTATATTTTTTAGAAAAATAGCAATACTTATTATTATTATTATTATTATTATTATTTCATAGGGAGTATTTATTATTATTTTCATTGTATTCTATCATTATTATTATTATTATAAACTGCTCCATATTATTTTTAGGAAAAATTACCCAAAATAATCCCAACTTTACCCGGTCTTTCAAAAATAATCTCATTTTTCACTGTGATGCATAGTAATCCCAACTTTACTGAAATTTGCCAGTTTTGGGTCACCGTTAAATTTCTAACGGAGGCTTAACGGAAATGCCCGTTTTAGGCAACAAAATGAAAGTTGGGATTATTTTTGATGAATTTTCATTTTTTTTCATTTTTTTTAAATTTTTAATTTAAATTTTTTAAATTACTTTCTACCTTCATCATCATTTCTTTTTCCTTTTTTAAAGATTAGTCTTAGTTTAAAAAAAATAATAGATACAGAGTATAAAAAATTAAAAATGAGAAATGTAACTAAAATGATACAAAAATAATAAAATAAATAAGGTAATCAATGGAAACTAACTTGAAATTGGTAAAGTAAAATAAAAATATACAGGTGAGTTTTAATATTTTACGCATTATACAAAGTATTAACAT